TCACTTGGACGAAAGAAGTTGAGAGCCGCTCAAGAAAGGTGGGTAATTCGAATCTTGCAGACGAGTGGCGAAAGCTGACCAGTAGTTCAGGTGAAGATTTAGGATACTTCCAATACGGAGGCTCGACCGTGATTGTCGTATTCCCCAAGGGTGCCATGACGTTTGACCAAGATATTCTTGGATACTCCAAGGCTGGTGTGGAGACTCTTGTGCATGTGGGGGATAGGATTGGTGTCGCGGGATCGGCTTGATAACTCTAACAATAAGAAAGAAATTAAAGAGAATAAGTGTTGCGTTGTAGACTTCGACGTAGCTGTGAATGAAATGCGTTCTGTGTGTGATATGTACTCTCTCGACATTATGACAATGGAATATCTCAATGAGTTCGAGGTGGAAGCAAAAAATACAAAGATGGCGATGAGGAGAAAATGCCTCGGTCATTCTACCACTGCCGTTCTTTCTTATCCATTACATAATCAACGGGACCTTTGGTGCGTGCTTGATAATTCCACTCGTCCTCGTTGCGCAAACAGCGCAAAGTGTCCCGTTTCCAGCGACTGAAAAAGATACGCGTCCATCGGGGAGGTGGACCAGATTTATTGATATTTTTGTCGACCTCCGTGAAGATCCAGTCCACCACCACATGAAAATTCTCCATTTCCCCAAGACATGCGTACGCACCACAGGCATCATCCACGTACCATGCGATCGTTGCATCGCGCTTATAGTTTGTGTCAATAAGCTTGGCTCTGCCGAAATCGAGGAAGACAAAGTGCTCTTCACCGTCTTGTTGCCGTACGATGACATTGTTAGGGTGCAGGTCGCGATGGCACACGCCAAGCTCGTGTATCTTGTCGAGACTGGTCAGGAAATCGGACATCTTGTATGCGTCAGAAGACACAGAGAACAGAATGAAAGTTGCTAGGGAGGGACGTACCTTCTTCTGCGCGCCAGGAGTGCGCGAGAGAGGAACGCCGTGTACGTATTCCATGAGATGTCCGTGAAAACATCGACTGTCTTCGAGATTGAACTAAACGGAGTGAGTCCTCGCAATTGCTAATCAACAGCACGCCACACGCACGTAATAAAAGCCATGAGACTTAGGCACAAGAGTGCCTTGGAGTGTCTCCAACCTGGCATATGCCCATGCTTCGCGAACGCAGGCATCTCGGTCCATTTTGTCATCAGGGCTGGGATGATAATGTTTCACGAGTACTTCTTCCTCTGTCAAGTCGGTTGGACCATAGAGGTTGGCACGCCAAACCGTGGCGCGATGTCCAATGTGTAGTGGGTTCAGTAGCATGACGGTACGACCGGAGAGTGGGGATGACAGAGGTACGACAGCATCGTCGAAATAGGGCCATCGCTCACATGGCACAGACGTAAGCTTGAGAAACTTGTAGGCCAATGCTTTTGTGTAATCATCCAAGTCGGCGGCAGACATATCAGAGCGACTGATGTTGGGTCGAAGTAAACAAAATCAGTGAAACCTGTGACGGAAGTAATGGGGTTGCTTCCGTTCCCTCCACAGGTTATGTTGCCAGCGTGTCTCATAATCTCAGCTGCATACGATGTCTCAACCACGTCCATCACCCACCATCCGATACACCACCTACGAGGATCTCATGGCCTTTGTCAATGCTCCACTACGAGATGCAATTACCGATTTGCATCATCCTGATGTCAATGTCACGCCTCACAGCTCATCGATGGATTATGTGGTCGTCAAATTCTATTCACTGTGTACTCCGTTCCAGGACCTGGTCTGGCCCATACTTATAGAAAACAATCCGGGTGTTCGCAAGGTTCTCGAAAGAAAAATACGTTACATTGACAAGCAGTGGAAACACTGTTTGCGGACCGAGGGGGATGTTGCGTAAGAGATTCATTTGTGATCACATAGTACGCTCCTTGATGCTGTGACTTGCCAGAGACGCAATCGTCTTCAATCTCCTCGTTCCCTGTACATGCACAGATACAGTTGCAGGCGTGCTCTTCTCACTGATTATGACACCAATCACATGATAGTTGTGGACCAGATACCAAGGTTGCCTGAACCGGGAGAGCCTGAACTTGGAACAATTACATTTTGCGACTGGTCATCATCTGCAGCCAAAATCCGGGCGAATGTCTTCCTATTGGGTATCATTGGTTTGGTCGCGATGGGTCTCTTGCCCCCAGGTCCACGGATTCTCTTCGATCTAGTGGATTTACGCGACCTGCGCAAAAAGGACGAAAACGCGGATTATTACCCAAAGGAAGATCCCAATGTTACTCCAAAAAAGGTACGTCCACCCTGGCCAGCCCAGTCTTATTTCTACTGCGAATAGTTTGTAAACATTCAGTCAGAACAGAGGAGGCGTTTCGCATCCATATCCGTTAGACTCATTACCGCTGTTAACGCCATGGCCACCGATGTCCTCAGCAAGAGGACAACCACCAGGAATGTATGGGCCACAGCCTAGGCCAACATCAGGAAGAGGACTACCACTAGAATCGTACGGGCCACCACCTGGGTCGCCGTCAGCAAGAGGACAACCGCCGGGAACATATAGGCCGCCACCTGGAACGTCAGGAACAGGGAGGCAGGGGCGTTCGTCATGAAGAGGACTTCCCTATAACGATCCCAACACAAGCAGATAGATATTGTTGGATAGGCATATTGCGATCACGTACAGTTGTAGAATTTCAAAGAATCGATCCTGAGGACCGAATGAGCTGACAATTGTCTGCAACATCTTCATTCATGTTAGCTCACATCTACATGCCGCAAGTTGTGCAGACAGCGTACCATCATGAAGCCTTCTTGACCAGCTCCTTTGACTCTTGCGTCCCCTGTGTTGACGTCTCCTTTGCTTTCCCCACCACATCACGAGCTGACGTCTCCTTTGCTTTCCCCACCACCTCACGAGTTGGCGTCTCCTTGGCTTTCCCCACCACCTCATGAGTTGGCGTCTCCTTTGCTTTCCCCACCACCTCCCGATAAGGCTCAACATACATCACGTTCAACTCGTTCCCATCCAGATCAAACACAGTACACATATACCCAGCCAGCCCATTCATCTGTACTTGTGCAGGTGGCAGGTCACTAGTCGCTCCGGCATCGATGGCAACTTCGTAGAAGGTGTCCACTATGTTCTCTGATGGCGCGCGGAGAGTGAACGAGACACCAGTAACCCATGTCGTGTCACGCTTCTTGACCACCGTGAAGGACGGTGCATCGCGTCCCCATCTGAAACTCAAGGCGGCTTCCTCATCTTGTTGAGGCTTGACGAGCGTCCCAGTTTCGGCGCCCAGGACCTCGAAGAGGCTGGCATAAAATGTGATGGCTTTGGCGAAGTCGCGGACAGGAATTGAGATATTGAGGATGACAGAAAACTGAGAAGAGGTCATCGTAGATGTTGTGGCTCTAAAGAGAAGTCTTGGGTAGTTGGACCAGAAAAAGAAGGCTGCATAGCTATATCTATTCGGACCAGGTAGAGCACAGCGGAGAGTGCAAGTCGTGTGTCAAGTGTCAGGCGCCTGTAAAACGCCGACTGCTCCCGCAGACGACCCTGGGCTGCGTATGTAACCCCTCTTCTTGAACCACCTTGAACGCCGTTAACCGCCAGCCCAATGCATGGCTGACAACATTTCTCTGCATACATTGCGCCCAGGTCGCACACGACGATACGCCCCACTCCCCCTCGACTCGCCGCCGTCACCGGCGCCCCAGCCATCAGGTCGGCGAAAGATCATGGCACGCCGTTTGAAGCCAGGAGATGCGCGATACAGAGATCGACCAGAAGATGAGGAGACACTTTTGGGGACTGATTTGGATGCTGCGGACAATGTCGATCGAAGAGCGGAGATGGAAGACGCAAGAGAGGCTGATGATGTGCGTCATGTAATGTTCAGTAGTGTCACCACGACTGAAGTATCATCAGGGTCAGACGCAGCAGGCTCCCCCACCACCTCCTACGAAAGGCAAGGAGAAGGCTCGTACAATACCATTCCGGCCGCCTGGTAAGTACAATTGTTGATCCTTTGTACCTACTTATTTTTATACAGAGAAGCTGGCTAGTCGGTTTCCGGCCAATGTGGTTCGCAATCAAAAGTACAACCTATTCACCTTCCTACCCCTCGTCCTGTATGAGCAATTCAAGTTCTTTTTCAATCTATATTTCCTGCTCGTCGCCCTGAGCCAATTCATACCTGCCCTCAAGATTGGTATGTACCCTTGAGCAGCTCAAACGTTGACGTCTTATTAATAGCGACCTAGGGTATCTTGCAACCTACACTGCTCCTCTGTCCTTCGTGCTCTTAGTTACGATGGGCAAAGAAGCATACGATGACTACCAACGCTATCTTCGGGACCGGGAATCCAATTCGGCAAAATATCTTGTTCTGGATCACTCTTCTGATCCTCTCCCCTCCTCACCTTCCTCGCAGTTCCCCTCCCATCCATCTACGCGAGCAACACCTTCCTCAAAACTTAAAGTGGGCGACCTTGTCGTGTTGGAGAAGAATCAGCGCGTTCCAGCAGACATGGTTCTTCTCCGAACATCAGATCAGGCAACCGGTAGCTGTTTCATTCGTACGGACCAGTTGGATGGCGAGACGGATTGGAAGATGCGAATAGCTGTCGGCGCAACGCAGGCTTTGGCAACTGATTCTAAACTGCTTGATCTTGAGGGCGAAATCTTTGCCGATGCCCCCATCAAGGATATCCACACATTTTTTGGTACTGTCAACCTGCATGCTGGTAGGGCGGACGCCTTGACAACCCCCCTTAATGCCGAGAATGTGCTCTGGGCCAATACTGTACTTGCTGCTGGTTCTGCGATTGGCTTCATCATCTACACAGGAGCAGAAACTAGGGCAGTCATGAATACTAGTCACCCCGAAACCAAAGTTGGTTTGTTGGATCTGGAAATCAACAGCCTATCAAAGGTAGGGACATGAACAACATCACCATATCTGCATTAACTGTTTTGGAAGATCTTGTGTGCTGTCTCCCTCTCCGTATCATTTGCAGAAGTAGCCATGAACGGCTTTCGTGGCGCGTGGTATATCTACGTCTTCCGATTTCTGGTTCTATTTTCCTCGATTATCCCTATAAGGTATGCCTGACGCATTTCGTATCGTGGCAATGCAGGACTCACATTCACTAGTCTCCGTGTGAATTTGGATATGGGAAAGACTGTGTATGCATATCAGATACAAAGCGACCCCGAAATTCCTGGGACCATCGTGAGGACGAGTACTATTCCGGAAGAACTTGGTCGCCTAGAATATCTCCTTAGCGACAAGACGGGGACGTTGACTCAGAACGGCATGTCCATCAGACTTTTTCCTTCCTAATTTGCTTATGCAGTTGTTAGAAATGGAAATGAAGAAGCTGCATATGGGTACAATGTCTTATGGTGCTGACTCCATGGATGAAGTTGCTCACCAGCTTTCACTCTCTTTCGGTGCCACGACAGAACAGGGTTCGTCTGTCCTCAAAAACCCACAATCACCTCGCTGAGCGTTCTTCTAGCTCTGAAGCGTGCAGGAAATACGTTTACCGGTGCTGCCGTTGCCTCCAGAGGCCGACGTGACATGTCAACCCGCGTCCGTGATGTCATTCTCTCGCTGGCGCTGTGCCACAATGTAGAGTTCTCTCCTGATAATCGATGGTGTCCGATTAACTCTACCTCTAGGTCACGCCCGTCAGCAATGATGATGGAACCGTAACATATCAAGCTGCGTCACCGGATGAAGTTGCCATTGTGAAGTTTACGGGATCGGTTGGCCTGACGCTTAACCATCGAGACCGGACCCGCATGGACTTGCTCACCCCGGACGGTACCACTCTTACGTTCAATATTCTGGAGATCTTCCCTTTTACGTCTGAGTCGAAGCGTATGGGCATAGTTGTGCGCGAAGCCGTTTCCGGAGAAATCAGTTTCCTGCAAAAGGGAGCTGACACCGTCATGGCAAAAATTGTGCAGCGCAATGACTGGCTCGATGAGGAATGTGGAAATATGGCTCGTGAAGGTCTGCGAACGCTCGTAGTCGCAAGAAAGAAGCTGTCGGAAGAAACGTATGAAACATTCCGACGACGATATGATGAAGCCAGCATCAAGATTGAAGGACGCAGTGAAGGCATGTCTCAAGTCATTGCCGAGTTCTTGGAGAAGGATATGGAATTACTTGGCCTTACTGGTGTGGAGGATAAGCTACAGGATGAGGTCAAATCGACCATTGAGCTGCTACGGAACGCTGGAATCAAGATCTGGATGCTTACGGGGGATAAAATCGAGACCGCCACTTGTATTGCTATCTCCACCAAGTTGGTTGCACGCAATCAGTACATACATCAAGTCGCAAAGCGTATGTTACTTCCAGGATTTGTGAGAATGTGCTTATTTCTTTCAAGTGAAAACCCACGACGAAGCACGCGATCAACTGCGATTCTTGCAGTCAAAACCAGACTGCTGCTTAGTCATCGATGGAGAGTCACTTCAGGTACGGGTTTGGCGACCATTAAATTGGTCCACATGCTCATGCTCACGATTGGCAACAGCTTATGCTAACTATGTTCAAACAAGAGTTCATCGAAATCGCTACTAAACTCTCTGCTGTCGCTGCTTGCCGTTGCTCTCCCACGCAGAAGGCTGACGTTGCTCGGTTAATTCGACAGCATACGAAGAAACGAGTGTGCTGCATTGGCGATGGTGGAAATGATGTCAGCATGATCCAAGCAGCCGATGTCGGTAAGTTCATATTGGTAATCCTCCCTGATGTTTCTCTGATGTTGCGAAAGGAATTGGCATAGTCGGCAAGGAAGGAAAGCAAGCGTCTCTCGCTGCCGACTTTTCTATCAACCAGTTCAGCTATCTTACAAAGCTCCTCGTCTGGCATGGAAGAAACTCTTACAAACGATCTGCCAAGTTATCACAATTTGTCATCCACCGGGGCCTTATTATCGCTATTGTCCAGGCGGTCTTCTCGGCTATCTTCTACTTCGCCCCCATAGCAATCTATCAAGGCTGGCTGCTGGTCGGTTACGCAACCGTTTATACAATGGCTCCTGTTTTCTCTCTCGTCCTGGACCGTGATGTGAATGAAGATGTTGCTTTGTTGTATCCTGAGCTGTATCGTGAGCTTACGAAGGTAGGGCTTACTCGCCTTCGCAGATTCCCAGGCTTATCAAACAAACAGGGGCGATCATTGTCTTTCAAAACATTCTTTTCATGGCTGATGATCAGCATATATCAAGGTAGTGCGATCATGATCATGTCACTTGTGTTATTCGAGAACGAATTCTTGAATATCGTGTCAATCTCATTCACCTCTTTAATCTTGAACGAGCTTCTTATGGTTGCAGTATCAATTACAAGATGGTAAGCTTTCCCTTGTTGCCCTTAGTCTAATTGCTTACGCATTTCAATAGGCATTCGCTCATGATCGCTTCCGAAGTCGTCACCTTCCTTATTTATGCGGGAAGCATCGTGTTTCTTCCAACATATTTCGGTGCGTGATAGTGCTGAAGCTGTGTTCTTGCTGTCTCACTTCTTCAATACCAGACCTTTGGTTTGTTCTTTCGCCGAGATTTTTCTGGAAGGTAGCTGTGATTGTGGCTGTCAGTTCACTGCCCTTGTATATTGTCAAAATTGTCCGCAGTCGCATTGCTCCCTCAGCGTACACCAAGTTATCATAGGATCCCGGATACCCCTGTAATGTATTGCCCATAGATTGCCTCTTAATGCGTCGATCGTACATATGATGCCTCAACCAACTAATCCATCATAGAAGACGTCCGTGATAGGCTGCCTCTTAAACACTAGGAGAAGAAAGTGCGCAATGTACGGTGCCCACAATGCAGACACAAAACAGGAGGACTGGCTAGAGCCTTGTTCTGTGCACAGAAGCCGAGGCAACAAAGATATCCAGTTACATGTTCTGATCCTTCGCAGCAGCGACATGCAATGCCGACATTATTTCTTGCGCCTACCATGCTTGGTGCACTCATAACGCAGTTCTGGATTTCAAAGACATTGAATTGATGAAAGGAGAATGCAAAGGAAAGCTTGACAGGTTACGGCTAGTGGATCAAACAAAACAATTATAGGAACAATCATATGCGTGCAACGGGCAGTCAATCATCGAGTGCTAGGATCATGGTGGGGAGATGGCGTAGTGAAGGGATTTGGGAGCCCAAATGGTGTGTTCATGATGGGGCTCGTGAGATAGGGTGCAGGAGGGGCCCCAGGTGCAGGTGAGAAGGAACTTCCAGGAGCGACATTATTTCGGGTGCCAATCGCACCAGGACCTGAAGGAATACCCACAGGTCCCCACCGATTGTCCGAAGTAAGGCCTGCTGAATCCCAAGGGTTGGATGCCGGGCGCGAGCTGAGGTCCCAAGGTGGGAGCGTGACCGTATTCTTCCGCTTTGGCATTCCAATGAGTTCATCGTTTGCATCGATCAAGCCAGACAAGGCGGAGCTTCCAGCCTTAGGGGGCCCTATCGGGTCTCCCGCCAATGCAGCACTTCCTTTCGCGGGACTCGCACTGCGACTCGACAGATGTGCGTCGGAGTGAGATCCAGAGGGGACTGAAGCGCCAATTACACCGGGACGCACACCGATGGGGGCGATCGGTGCGATTGGAGTGATATTCGGACGCTGAATGGCTGCAGAGAAGCCAGAAGCAGTCGGAGGTCGAGCCACAGGATCACCGGAAGGTCGACGCATGTGAGAACCCGGGGCAGAAGACAGCGAAGATGATGCTGGAGGAGGAATGCCTGAGATGTCCAGGCTGCCGATTCGCAAATCATTCATACCAGCGGCAAGTTGACCGACTCCAGGACCGCCGCGAGACACGCCAATGGGAATGGATGCAGATGTTTGTCGCGGGACGGAAGTATACGAGGAGCGATCGTACAGGTCCGGTGGCTCGAAGTGCGGCCTTCCTACAGTCGGCGACGCAGACATTGGGCCCATTTGACCATGCATAGACATTGGACTCACGTTGGTCATTCCGAACGGTTGAGGTGTCAGGGAAGGTGTAAGCCCACGAGGTGGCATCATCTGTCCGTTCACTCCAATCGGGAAAGACAGTGGCGGTCCACCATGCATGGTTTGTTGCATGAACGGCCCTCCAGGTGGTAGTCCGATCGGCTGAGGTACACCCGGCGGCGCCATAGGCATTTGCGGAATAGGTTGATTCGGCATCGGAGATGGCTGAGGTGGAGAGGAGACTGTAGATGAAGATGCAGTGATAACTGTTGGCCGTGTAGGCTGTCGCACAGGTGTTGCGATGGGTGCGGGTGGCTGACCTGGGGGACGTTGCTGAATTGAGATAGGTGTGATGGGTTTGGGCGGAGTCGTGGAGTTTGAACCAAGGGTAGGAGCGTTCGGCTTGCCCTGAGGTTTGCGAGGGGCAGAGGGACTAGCAGAGGACGATCCACTGGCACGGGCCTGTGTAGAGATGGAACTGGAAGGAGAGGGGCGGGTTGCCACCACTGGAGGTTTGACAGGTTGCACTTGAACAGAAGGACGGACAGGCGTCTGCGCTATCTGAGCCTTTGCAGCAGCAGCAATGCGTGCCTTCTCCTGAGCTTCCTTCTCCTTGGCTTCCTTCTCCTTGGCTTCCTTCTCAGCTTTCTCTCTAGCCTCCTTCTCTCTAGCCTCCTTCTCTCTGCGTTCCTTCTCCACCCTTTCGCGTTCCTCCCGTTCCTTTCGTTCTTTCTCGTGCCGAACCTCTTCCTCTTTAGCCCTGCGCTCCCTCTCTTCTCTCTCCCTACGCTCTCGTTCCAAGCGTTCTTGCTTTACACGCTCTTCTTTCTCTTTCTTCTTGCGAGCAGCCTCAGCCTCGCGCTCACGTTCTTCCGCGACCCGCTTCCGCCGCTCTTCATCCTTTCGGCTCTTCTCTTCTTCGCGAGCTTTCTTCTCGGCTTCTCGTTTCAGCCGCTCTTCATCTCGCTTCCGCCGCTGTTCTTCCTCGAGCGCCTCCTGCTTAGCCTTGGCAGCAGCATCCTCCGCAGCCTTCTCAGCATCCCGGCGAGCTCGCTCTTCTTCCTTGGCGTGCTTTTGCTGCCTGTACCATCATTGTCAACAGGTCGCCCAGACGAGTCAGGCAACAGCTCACTTCTTCTTGTCCTTCTTCTTTTGGTTCTCTTTCTCCTTCTTCTCCCTCCTCTCTCTCTCCAGCTTATCTTCCTCCTCGAGCTCTCTGAGAAGTTGGCTCTGCCGCTCTTGTGCTACACGCTCGCGATATGCTTGCAGTACACGCTGCTCAAACATGCGCGCAGCAAAGATCTGGAACATGCGACGGCCCTCTTCCATTTTTTGCTGTTCAGTGAGCTAGAGATCCATCCAGTCAGGTTCAGAACCCTTAAAGGCAGCGTAAGTCACACTGACCTCCTCCTCCTCCTCTTCCTCTTCCTCGTCTTCTTCCTCCTCATCTTCATCCTCTTCATCCTCTTCATCTTCGTCCTCCTCCTCCTCATCACTCTCGTCCTCACCCACAGCAGCAGCAGCCTCCTTCTCGCGCATCATCCGCCGCTTCGCAAGCTGCTCCATCATCTCGAGGAACTTCTGCCCGTCATTCTTGAGCAGATCATCGGCGACGGTGAGGATGCCTCCTGGGTCTCCACGTAAGAACGCGCACAAAGGTAACGCAAACACGCGAGATCAAGTCAGCAAATGATGGCTCAAAGCGCGGCAAAACCAGACTCAAAGCGCAAGCTGGGGCGCCGTGTCCCTCGAAAGAGGAAGAAGGGACAACGAATAAAGGTAAGAATTAGGTACACACCTTTGACAGTCAGGCTGTTCCCAAACCCGAAGACGTCGCCGTTGACAGGCTTGGCAGGATCAGCTTTCCTCCCAGTGCCCTTGCGCGTCCGCGGCTTGTCAACAGCATCAACATCGTCCTCATCGACGTCCTCTTCCTCTTCCTCCTCGTCATACTCGTCCTCTTCATCCCCCTCCTCTTCATCATACTCATCCTCTTCTTCCTCATCATCAAACTCGTCTTCCTCCCCCGGTCCCGCCGGCGGACGCGGCTGAGCCAGCGCTTTCCGCGTCTGGGCCGCAGTCTTGCCCACCTGACCCAGCACGGGCGCGCCGTTCTTGTCCAGCTCGATGCTTCCGGGGAATGGCCCTGGACCGGGAGGAGGGACGACCCCGCCAGAAAGGAGAGACTCTTCCTGCTTCTTGGCGTATACCTCCAGCTCCAGGTAATATTGATCATACAGTGACTCCAGCTCTGACTCGATCGCATGCCTGTGTGCGGATGAGCACGCGGCATGCCACACATATCAGGTTGACTCACCGTTTTCTGCCACAGACCGCACACGAACAACTATGTTTCTGCTGCTCCTTCATCTTCTTCAGCACAGTCTCCTTCTCGATCTTGACAAGCGCGCGACGCTCGTGCTCCTGCAGACCTAGCCAGAAGTCCTTGATTCGCTCGCGCTCTTCCTGACTGTTCGTATTCCAAAGTTTGCTACTCTTCGCAGGGTCCGCTTTGGTCACAGGCGCCGCACCGGAATTATGGTGATCAATTGGGTAGTTGAGCTTGGAATTGGGGCGCCTTCCGGCGCTGGCAGGCGGTGCGGGGGACGGAGCAGGAGGTGGATTGGGAGGATAGGCCATTGGTTGCTTTCCTTGTGCTCTCGAGCTTGGCTGACGCGTAGGCGGCGCAGGGTGTACTGCTGGTGCAGGTGTGGGTGTAGAAGGAGGAAGAGAATGGGCGACTGTAGGTGGGGGATTTAAGTGCGGGTGTGTGGTGGGCACAGGAGGCACCGGAAAAGCAGGAGGAGCGGTGGGAGCGATGACGGGAGCAACTGGCTGAGTGGCTGCCACAGGCACTTGGACTTGTGGCGAAAATACATCACTTCCCTTCTTCTTTTTCTTCTTCTTGTTTTTCTTGCCACTCAACGAGTCGTTGTCACCATAGTTGCTACCATTTCCATGAGGGTAGACGGTAGCTTCGTAGCTGACGGTGAACTGCGAGCCACGGTCGGTGATGACATCCACGTCGACGTCAACATCCAGATCATCCGGGTCGACATCGTCGTCGCTCTGATATCCTGGCACGCTCTCATCGTACGCGTCAGGGTTGTTCGCGAAGGTGTTGAACATCTGTATGTCCGCGGCAGAGAGGTGGTCAAGCGGGTGGTCACCGACGGGATGGCTGGTCGCGATGGGGAGGCTTTCGAGGGCAATAGCGGCGAAATTAGGATCGCTGAGCATGCTGGGATCAGGTGGGTAAGAACCAGGGAACGCGCTTGCAACGAGGGATGAGAGGCTCCTGCTTTGTCGGCACGCAGGACAGTCACAAGCTTGCTGAGCAGCCTGGAGCCAGGCGTGTGTCTGAAGACGGAAAGAGTTTTGAGCTGCTGGTGCTACTACGCCCGATCCGGCGCTCTTGGTGCTTGTGGGGAAAGGGAGGATGTTGCGCACGTATTGCTGGAGATGGAGTGGCAAGGAGGACCAGTACGCGTCCTGTTCGGCGAAAGATGGGTCTGACTCGAGCCGCGTGTACAGGTCGTTTGCGGTCATAAGCAGCTCTGCGTGCGTTGGGTGCGGCTGGGTGTTATTGTTGTGGTTGTGTAAGAGACCAAAGGCGAGAGCGTGTAGGCTATTCTGGCCTGATGAGCGCAGAGAGAGAGGGAGCGCGATGTGAGCAAGCGGTGAACGTGGACGCTGTCCAAACACAAAGATAGACGTACGTGGATCAGAACCAAATGTGTCCATACTCATGCCAATACTGGCCTCTTCCACTCGCTCCTCCCTGTGTACGCGGTATGCTCCTACACTCTTCTTCCCCTAGAGTCTTGCCACTTTCACGGTGTATGACGCTGGTGCCAGTCCACAGCCTATGTCTAGGTATCCTCTCCGCAAGTATCGCAACCCAGTAGGTAAAAAGTAGTACTGCCTTTGTAGACTGAACAGTAAAGCAGTGAGTGGAAAAGGTCGAGGAGACTGTCGATGAGAAGACTGTCCTCTGTACGAAGGTGACCAAAATGATAAAGTTGGACGGGAACGGAATGAAAATGGGAACGTGAATTGCTCCCGTTCAATGGATTACATAACACTTTATACTTTGGTCTATGAACAAAAAAAAAGTTAATAAACACAGTGTATACACAGTGCATGCACATAAGTAACTTACACCAAATTCACTCATAATAAAATACCTTTATTATTGTCTTTTTAACAATGAATTTACCTTGCCACATGGCACTTGCCAATATTACTCACGTGGTAAGATCATACCATCTCTCAGGGAACACCGCCCTCAACCAGGGCTCTCAGTCCTCTCCTAGTGCCAGCAATGTCCTTCGCCTTGGAAAAACAAGTCGCCATCTCCGCCGTACTGAGGGCATGCCGACTTACATCGTCGGTATTCACCAAGCTCGTCACGGCGGAAACGGTGACCAAGAACGACAAGTCTCCTGTGACGGTGGCGGACTATGCCGCTCAGGCAGTGATCAACACCGTCCTTTCCCGAGCGTTCCCAGAGGATGCCATCGTGGGGGAAGAAGATGCTGGGGTGCTGCGTAATCCAGGAACAGAAGAAATCGTCCAGCTAAAAGCACACGTCGTAGCACTGGCAAACGATGCACTCTCCACCCCAGCAAACAGCGACGAACTCCCGGCATGGAGTCTAGGCAGCCCTCGCACTCCCGAACAACTGCTCGACGCTATCGACAGGGGCCAGTACGCAGGTGGGCGTACGGGACGTATGTGGGCTCTGGATCCGATAGACGGGACGAAGGGCTTCCTTAGGGGAGGGCAGTACGCTGTCTGCCTTGCGCTGATCGTGGACTCTGTTGTCCAGCTTGGAGTAATGGGATGCCCCAACCTTCCTGTGAACGCCGACAAGCCCGAAGGAGAAAAAGGCTGTTTGTTCGTCGCTGTCCGAGGCGAGGGCGCAACCCAAGTACGCATTCCCTCTCTCTCAATTCCGCAGTACTGACTCCAGCAACCAGCGTTCATTCACCTCCCCCACACTTCACAAACTGCTCATGCCCACCGTTCCCCCCGAGTCATACCAAGTCCTCGAATCGCTCGAAGCCGCGCATTCCTCACACTCCTTCTCCTCCCTCTTCAGTAACAAGCTCCACATCACCCGCCCTCCGCTGCGCATGGACAGCCAAGCGAAGTACTGTTCTCTCGCCCGAGGGCAGGGGGCGATCTACCTCCGTATGCCGACGGGCGTGGGGTACAGGGAGAAGATATGGGATCACGCGAGTGGGAGCTTGCTCGTACAGGAAGCTGGGGGGCTCGTTACGGATGGAAGGGGACTGCCGCTGGACTTTGGACTGGGGCGGACGTTGGGAGAAAACTTTGGCATCATCGCTGCTAATAAGGAGATACACCCTAAGGTTATAGAGGCGATCAAGGCTATCCAGGAAGAGGAGTCGAAAGGGAAGTCTGGTTGACCAGAGTACGAGTATATGGTGGGATCATGTTGCAGGTATAGAACAGATACAATGTTGTTGTACAATGATACCGAGAATAAGAGAGAGCAGTATTAATACTTTCCTTCGAGTTCGCCATCAGGGGGAAATAACATACACCTCCTGCCCGTCCTCCCAAACCGCCGTAACACCCTCAATATCGTCCATGTCCGAGTTCTCATACACATTCGCATCCTTTCCTCCGCTCCCATTCCCCTTTCGCCTCTTCGCCTGCCGCCCAGTGCCACCAGTGCCATTAGTACTTGGAAGCCTCCTCTTCCCTCGCATATCCAGCTGCCAATCATCACCCTCCACGATATCCGTCTCCTCCGAATCAGGCTCAACGAGCTCAACGTCACCGTCGTCCTCCTCCTCCTCATCGCCGTACACGTCCTCAGGGGGATACTTGCTCGCCCGAATCTTGCCCTTCCTCTCCGGTACCCAGCTATCGTCGACCTTCGCCTGCTTCCCTTTTGCCCCCATACTCACCCTTGCCTTCCTCGGCAGAGGGAGTAAGAACACTCCTTCCACTTTCGGTCCTTCCCTCTGTCCCGACCGTACAAGTGCAAGAGGAAGCCTCGTCAGCCTCGCAGCTCGTAACCCAGGTGAGAGGTAGACGTTAACAGCATACGCAGTCTGGTGGTAGTCTTCTGCCAGGTACCGGTCGAGTATCAACTGAATTGTGAGGAATTCGACGTCCTACCCCGTCCGTCGTCGTCAGCCCACCCCCGCTCTGGGTATATGCCATATACGCACGTCTTTGCTCAAGTCTACTTTCCCACCTAGGGGCTCCAGGTCCAGCTCAGACTTTTCGGACTTCCGCCTCTTCCCCTTTCCCCCTCCCGAAACAGCAAACGCCCCCCCTCCCAACCCCCTCGCCAAATCCGCAAGCATGCCCACCGTCACCCGTCCCCCCTCCCTACATACCTCTTCTACAACTCTGAGGATCTGCCAAGCCTGGAATGTCACGTCTTTCCGGCTGACGGTGCTCGGCGGGCGCAGGCAGTTGTCGCAGTGCCCACAAGGGGCGAGGGACGCAGGCGCGGAGGGGTCTTCCCATGCCGCCGTGGCCAATTCGGAGGAAGCGGAGAAGTACCTCGCGAACAGCAACTTGCGGCAATCGGTCAAGTTCTGCGCAAAACGTAGCATCTCATGCACTACAGTATAGCGTCAGCGGGGCCCTTCATTAATGGAACACATGGATGAATGATGAATGATCGATGAACGAACATACATTTCTCTTGTCCCTCGACTTCGCCACATATCAGCGAGCTGAGACGCGTCGCGTCCTGCCCTCTATAATACAATACACAATCCGCATGCTTGCCATCCCGTCCCGCCCGTCCAGACTCCTGGTAAAACCCGTCGAGGCTCTTCGACATCTGGTGTCATCAGCACTGCCCGATATTCAACGACGTCATACGCACCGAATGATGCAGTACGAAGCGGACGTCGCCTTTATCGATCCCCAAGCCGAAGGCTGAGTGTATTTGATAAGCGGAGCTGAGCTTATCAAGGAAAGGACGAACCAATCGTAGCGCATACGACCTGCACCTGGCCGGTTCTCCACCGCCTGTGGATGCCCTCCTTCTCCGCATCTTCTACGTCTGCATGATATACCCCTGTCCTGATCTTCCCTTTGCTGGCTTGGGCGATCCCATCCGCGACCGTCTGTGTGTCCTTCTTCGATAGGCAGTATACGATGCCCGACTCTCCCCTATGGTGAGCAAGGATATAGTCCGCCATAGCCTGGATTGCTCCTGCCGCAGAAGGCGGTTTGGGGAGAACGGAATAATGCAGGTTGGCCCGGTAAAGAGGAGAGGAGAAGTACACCGTCCCGCCGTCCAGGGGGGCGGAGGTTCCGTCTACTACCGGGCGGAGCTTGAGGATCTTGAGCAGGTCTTTGAGTACGCTCGGAGGACAAGTGGCGGAGAGAGCAAGGATAGGAACGGAGGGGAAGAGCTGGCGCAGGATGGAGAGTTTCTTATAATCCGGTCTGGATAACTCAGTGCTCAGTATATGCGCGGGAATGTATTGGCTAGGCTTACCGGAAATCATGCCCCAGGGAAGAGACGCAGTGGGCTTCGTCGATGACGATCCTCGCGAGCCTTCCGTCCAGAGCCATCTTCTCCATAAGACTCATGAACGTCTTGCTTTTCGCGATCCTTTCGGGCTGCATACACTTTATGAGCAGTGCACGACTTGTGAGAGAAGCGCATACAGTCACATAACAGAGCTTGATCTCCTTCTCCTCTTGCTCTCTCGCATGCTTCTTCTTCCCCAGCCGGTTAAATACCTCCCTGGACTCCTCCTTCTTCGTCCCTCCAGTAAGCATCACCGCCTCCACTACGTTGCATCAGCAGCATTCGCATGAAAGAGGAAGCGCGTACCTCCCGCTTCGCGCAAATGCAATATCTGATCTGTGATGAGCGACACCAGAGGGGAGATAACGACCGTCGTTCCAGGTGTCAAGAGCGCCGGAAGCTGGTAAGTGAGAGATTTCCCTCCTCCTACGTACTCTCAGTTTTCTCCTAGCGCCAAGGTCAGATACGCACCAGTAGGCATGACACAAACGACGTCCCTCCCGTCCATGTTAGCGTTACACACGCTGCATATATTTAGCTTTTTCCTCGTTCAGAGCTCCCAGGAGGGAGAGACCGACCCCTTTTGGCAGAACCGGAAGTCCTGGATTCCGAAGACCTGTTTGGCTCTGTGAAGAAGCTCTCCACTCCATTCAAAGTCGTCCATGTAATTCTCCCTCCTCGTTTTGCCCTTTCCATTCGCATTCGCATTCGCATTCTTCGACCCGGCAGCAGCGCCAGAAGCAGTCAACCCCAAGTCCTCAAGTTCGCGTAACACAGCGGCTTTCTCATCTACCAAAGACTGTCGCAGTACTCGGAGCTTGTCAATGTCCCGATCTACACTGGAGACTTCGCTGTCTAGCGCTGTGAGCCTTGCTTTGAGCGTGGTGCGATGGGTGAACCCAGAGCCATTCGAGGAGGCCATGAGCGTGTGTTTATATTATCTCCTTCTGTTTTCTGTGCACTTTTAGCTGCAGTCAGATGATATTATAAGTTAAGCAGTCATGCAGTTACCCATAACAATCATCAAGCAATACCTCGCGGTCTCTCACCAAGTCACGTTTGTTCTCTCTTCGGGAACCCTTGTCCCACACGGGCGTTACTCGGTTAAGCTTCAGGGACGAGGCCCCTTACCCGTTATCTCTCGTTCAGCCTCCGCTGGCATGGAATTTCTTTACACGGACTAAGACGGGGAAGAGGACGATGACGTGGATTGGAAATAGAAATAGAGTTGCTTCCGTGCACCGAGGGGAAATCTGTCCTGTGAAAATCCTTCTTACACTTACGCTTGGTGGATGGTGATGGTCTGTGCACTTGACTCTCTTACTCGAACAATGATATTATTGATACAAATTGTTAAATAATATCAATGGGTATAGTAACCAGTTAATTCATTCGAGTAAAAGGCTATGAAAGATGGTCTGTACAGACGCCCGAACTGCGATTCCCCTGTGAAATCATTTTCAGGGCCCCTGTTCCCATCGACCCATCCAGTCAGAGGGCACATCACTTCGCACGCTCATCGCAACCCAACACGGCTTCCCTTCCATCCACCACCATCCCCAGCGCATATCAATTCGTTGCTCCCCTTTGCCTTCCCCCGCATTCAATTCAACTTTAAACAAGTCTATTATCATCCCCGTTTCGTAACACTAGGCAACACGTGCACTGGCTAGATCATTCCGGCGCGCTTCTGCCGCCTTCTTACTGGTGCACCGGTCAAGCCCGTCTATCTTCTCACACAAGAAATCATATATAACCCCCCCTTGTCGCCCTTTCGCATCCCCCCCAACTACTTCTTCACAACCCTTACAAACCCAGGTAACCACCAACAACGACAACAACAACACCTCCCAAAACAACATGAACAACTACGCGCTCCCCCTGCCCGCCCCTCCTCCAACCCCAGTCCCCTTCTCCCCCACAGGTCCAGTCAAAGCCCAATCCTTCCCCCTCCTCTCCTGTCTAATCCGGCAAAACCACCAATGGGCGCAAGACGTCAAAGCCGTCGAAGCGGACTTCTTTGAGCGCTCTGCGCTGGGACAGACACCGAAGATCCTCTGGATCGGTTGCTCGGACTCCAGAGTGCCTGAGACGGTCAAACTCGCTTCCCGCCCTGGGGAGATATTCGTACACAGGAACATCGCCAAGTGAGCTGTCTACTGTATCCTTGCACCCCCAGTTCTGCTAACGCTGTATAGCCAGTTCCACCCGACAGACGACTCTGCCCTCTCCGTGCTAATCTACGCCATCGAGCACCTGCACGTAGAACACAGTACGTCCCCTCCCCTCCCCACCTTCACAAGTACATGTACCAACCCCTTACAGTCATAATCTGCGGGCACACCTCCTGCGGCGGTGTAGCCGCCTCCTACTCCCTTTCCCAAGCTGAGCAGTGCTCCCACCCCTCAACCCCCACCCCCAGCAGCCCCAGCAGCCCCAGCAGCACCACCCCCCTAACACGGTGGCTCGACCCCCTTCAAAACCTCTCCCGCTCGCTCGGTCTCCCCTCCCAGCCAGAAGCGCTCGCCCTCCCCTTACTGCTAGACGCGAGCGTCAAACAGCAAGTGAGGCATGTAGTGCATACCAGTATCGTACAGAACGCTTGGAAGCAGGGGAAGAAGCTCTGGGTGCATGGGTGGGTGTACGAGGTCGGGACGGGGTTGGTTCGGGATATGGAGTGCAGTGTCGGCCCGCAGGACGGGCCGCTCATGAAATGAGCTCCTGCGCCCCTTTCGCTTTCGCTTTCCCATCGCCATCCCTTTCCCTTTCTGACCATACCCTTCCCTCCCTTCCCTTCCCTTCCCTCCCTTCCCTTCCCTTCCCATGCCCTTTCGAACCCCAAACCCTCCAGGGACGGACAGATTATGCCGTGCCCTAGAGGGAACACTGTATCGTTGTTTAAACCGCCTTTGGTCCGATTCCAAGAAAAGAAACACAACCAAAGTAGAAAGTAGAAAGTATATTTGTAGCTAGACACTCTCGCTCTCTCCCCAATATTCCCCTGACAACAGAACGTAATATGACCTCGTTGACCCCTTCCCACAAGTGTGATGCCTTCCTTGCTGCGCGTTCCCGTCTCCATCTCCCTCCCATCTCCGAGACATCACTCACTCGCAACCTGGGTTCTTGTATCGCCGCAACGCGCGTTCTCTCGCCTCCTTATGGTCAACAATCGGTGCCGGATACCCAAGTTTCTCGAATTCCGCGTGTGGCATATGCTCCCATGGCGCATACAGCACTGCGGAACGGAAGAACGAATATCAATGCCTGATCAACCGACTCCGCCCGATCAATGAGCGCCAAAGAAAGGACATACCATTTCCCTTCAGCTTGCTCAGTTCGGGGACGAACTGCCGGATATAGTCACCCGAAGGGTCAGCTTTTGCTGCCTGGCTGACAGGGTGGAAGATGCGGAAGTACGGTTGCGGATCTGTTACGGTTTGGAGTGCAGTCAGTCAGTCAGTTCAGTCAGCGTGCATGCATGTTCAACAACTTCCGGGTGGAGGGGAGTGTACTGCTAATGCTTGCTTACCTGTGCCGGTGGACGCAGTCCACTGCCAACCACCGTTATTACTTGCCAGGTCTCCGTCAATGAATGACTGCATGAAATAGCGCTCTCCGAGCCGCCAGTCGAGCATGAGGTCCTTGACGAAGAAACTGGCCGCAATCATCCTGGAACGGTTGTGCATCCACCCCATCTCATTACACTGCCGCATCGCCGCATCCACGATTGGATATCCCGTTTTACCATCTTTGAACGCCTGCAGGTTTTTCGCGTCCGTTTCCCACTTGACCGTGTTGAATTTTTCTAGGAAAGGACGGCCCATCGACACCCGGGGGAACGCAGCGAGGACATGGGTGTAAAAGTCCCTCCAGGCAACTTCCTGCGTCCACATCTGCGCACCGTCCTCCCGGTTGCTCGCTTCGAGTTTCTTACGCCCGCTCAGTGCTAGGACCTGGCGCAGGCATTCCCGGGCTGAGATGACCCCGCTGGCGAGGTACGGGCTCAGCCTGGAGCTGGAATCTTTGTCTGCCCTGTTCCGGCCCTCGCCGTACTCCATGATCCTGCTGTGCTTCAGGTCGTCCACTTCTCCAGAAGCCAGTACGCCCTTCCCACCCCCGAGCTGTTCTTTCCTTGCTTTGGTGTGCAGGAACCGGCGCAGTACTTCCGAAGCTACGTCTTCCCCTTCAGGCCAGTACAGCGCCATCTTCTCCTTGTCCTTGCACTCAAAGCCGGGTATATACTCCGGAATAGGCGTAGGGTTCTTCAGCAAGTCCTCGAGCTTCGGAGTGAGGGAAACCGTGTTCTTCTTCACCGGAGTCGCGCATTCCAGAGTGGCCGAATCCCCCTGTACCACCGATATCCAATTGCGCAAAAACGGGCTGTAAACGGTATACTACCGCCCGTCAGCATCAGCCTGAGCCCTCGATCCCAACGTATGCACGCACAGGCTTGTCCTGCTTCGTGAGCACCTTGCCGGGCTGGACGATACACTTGTCGTGTATGAACTCGCAACGGATGCCTTTTTCCAGCGCGAGACGGAGGGCCCGCTCGTCCCTCCGCAACTCGTCCACTTCGTATTCCATGTTCGCGCATACCGTTACGGCGCTGTACTCCTGCAGGAGGTCTACCAGTTTCTGGGGGAGAGAGTGCCGCGGCTCTATGCTGGCTGTGTAGAGGGGGATGTCGAGAGAGGACAGGGAGGCGCGCAGTGAACGGAGGTTGCGCAGCATGAAGTCTATACGCCGGGGAGAGCGGTCGTGTGCTTCATAATCTCCTGGAGAGAAGAGGAAGACTGTCATGAGCGACAGCTTTCCTTCCAAAGCGATGGACGCAGCGAGTGAGAAGGCGCGGTTGTCCTTCACTTTGTATGTGCACTTTCAGTGCCCACCCTGCTCAGACGGAAGAGGGAGAGACGTACAGCGCATATCCTCCATGCGCATCCAGTAGACCACACACTCACCCTCCAACTTCCCAGGTGGGCGGCGGTCAAGCGCCCGCTCTAGGATAGAAAGTGGAGAATGGGCGTCTACGGCAGCTGCAGCAGAGGCACTAGCGATCTTGTCCTTTACTTCAGGGGGATCTGAGTGTCCGTGGATGGTACGCGCGCGTTTGTTAGGAGAGGAAGAGGCTGGCGCTGGCCGTTTTCCGTTCTTGTTCGTGTTCATGTTTGTGTTCTTGTTGGCAGATGCAGTAGTTCGGATTACCATCCCTCTCCCAAGTCTAGTAAAAGGAGGACAAGAACGTCCAAAGTGGGAAAGTAGCATATCCTGTCCATTCCCAATTGTGGGTTTATATATCCCTCAGTAGTGGATGTCCGATCTCGAGGAAGAGAGAGAGGCGCAAAGAAGTGACGATCGGATGAAATGACGTCACCCTACGTCTTCCCCTGCAGAAGTTCTGGATGATCTGGATGAGTAAGGATATGCGCTATTGAAGGTTACTCGACCTGGAGTGGGAGCTACTATATGTGGGATGAACAGGTGGGCGCTTAAACGCACGTGCTTGGTGTATGAACGTGCTTGACTCAAAGTTCGGTGTTTCGTTCCTCGTTGTAGGATACTTCTACTTGTACAGTGAGAGTATGTCTAACGTGGACATGCCCCACTACGTTACCTCTCCTCATCCTCTAGTCAACCTCCTCCCCGTCATTAACATGCTCAGTGCCGGCGCTTAACCATCCGATGCCGTCGGACCCTCTTCGGCCTTACCTCTTCAACTCCTCAACCACGTTCATTTCCTTTCATTTACTTCACTTTTCTTTTCTTCTAGGATGCAGCACTGGTAGCTCACACCGAGGAGGTTGGTATTGTGAATGAAGTCGGAATTCCGTGCGAACGTTATGTAGCCATAGCCAGCGACTGCACTCGAAACCGGAAATCTAAGCTGGTAGCTTAGGGTTACTCGGGTTTCCTGACAGCACCAACTCGGCAGGGGCGCCAACGTTCCCATAGAAGGGAAATGCATGTTATTATCCGGGAATATCGTGCTAGGCTGTGATAGTTCTAGGCCTTATGTTGATGTAGTTGCAGAAGTAGTAGAAACAGTAAAAGTAGCCGCATAGGAAGAGACAAACAAAGCGCACCGCCCCTCAAGTGCGCAGGGTTTGGAAGAGGCATTGAGCGCATCCATCAGTACGCTCTCACACTCCTCGCCAGCAACTCCCTACAGCACACGTATACTCCAATTCCAATTCTAACTTAGAAACTAACACTCGACTACCGTATCACCGTTATACGTCGACATCGACGCTGGTGAGGGTAATCGCGATCCAAAGTCAGAGTGTTATCGTCAGACGTCTGACCAGCGTGCAGGGCCACTAGCACAACTTCTCGCCAGCAGCTTCACTTACACTTCGACCCCGAGAGCATCGCACGCACACCACACCATACACAGCCAAAGCCAGAGCGGCATCCCACTCCTACTCCTACTCCCTCCTTACCTCAACTCTTCGTTCAAGAACGACCGTCCCCGTCCCCGGACGTCAAAAACTAGCCAAAGCTGGTCCTTCCGCAAGATGTCATCTTCTCAGCAAGCGGTAAGTCCAACTCTGAGCACAAACAGCAACAGCAACAGTGCTCTAGTGCGCAACAGTCGACGCTCCGTGCTCACTTGAAGTTTAGATAAGGCGAAAACTTGTCATCGTCGGTGATGGCGCGTGTGGGAAGACGAGGTGCGTCTCTCGAGGGGGAGGGGGGGGG